CCCCCATGTAGGTGTCATTTGTTAATTCAGCATTAGCAGTCCATCTTAATTTACAAGTTCGTGACTTGGTCACTTTATTGTTTTTTGAGGATTATTAGATTAGAAAAAAAATCTTCCAAACACTGTACTGAAGCCAGTTAAATGGGAGTGAGATTGAATACTGGTTCCAACAGGATGGAGCAATGGCGCACACGGCTCCTGCACGGGTAAAATTTTTGGAATTTTTTGCTAATCATATCGTAATCTGATCGCTCCGTGTGAAACAAGCTGTGAAATCACTAACCAACGAGCTATAGATATGCAAAATATGCATATGAACCGAGATATGAACGGACAAATTCTATTTTCTATTTCCATTTTATTTTCCATTTTACGATCAATTTTCGTGGGACGCAGACAATAGGTATAGCCCGTGTTAGAAAATAACCTCGCTTCTGCGGATTTTCTGCACATTGTATGTGAATGTGTATAATTTATATCCACTTTATCCATATGTAAAATCATAGTACCGTGTTATATTATGGTAAAATGTAATGTAGGTAGATTATACATGGTTATGATGGTATTTCTAGATAAAAACAATGTATTAATTACTACATTCTTTTGAAAATAAGCACAGTTAAATTGTAGGTACTTAATTTGTTTTTGTTAACTTAATTACACGCATTGTAACTTTAATACATATTAATATTAAATTAAATTCTCTTTTGCTGGAAGATTTTCCGGCTATAATATTTACAATTGTTGTTATTACAAATGTGCTATATTAAGCACTTCAAACAATAGCTTCGTGTTAATAATTCTGATATTTTGGTCTTCTAATTACATATCCTTTGGACTTTTATCTTTTGATAGGTATACCTAATAATATACAGTGGTAGGTACCTGGTGTCAGTTATTGGAACTGATTTTTTACGTTTACATGGCGCTTTAAACAAATTTGAAAAGTGTGCTATTGTCCACACTGTGTCCGTATCATACAGGTATCAAACGAAACCTTATAATGTCAGGTGTGAAGCTCCACATTTTAATCTTCTACACCTCACCGCAACCCCAATGGACAATGACAAAGTAGAAAAAGTTAATTACACAGCAATTTCCCAGATATTGGCTTCGGATTTGATACCTCCATAACCAAAAGGCATTTTGCCCAAGACGTGTCAAAATCCTTATTTGACCCGATTTAATTGTAAAAATGTCTAAACGCATTAATTCGATTCGATTGAACTCGCGATTGAATTTAACGCATTTTTTATAACCACGTTATAAACGTTTTGACCAAAAGGGGTCAAAATCGTTGTTTACGTATTGTTTTCATCGTTTCACTTAAAAACCGTGGAATCTGTGTATCTTGATCTCCGAGAGGGTAAGCTCTATGGATTGTTAACGACCACGTGCGTTTGAATTATCAAAAGGTTTGAAAATCGTTTTCTTTTTCCCTGATTTGATTGGAAAAAAATTACTTAACAATTGTTTAGTAGCGCGGGTATATACAGGGTGTTACATATAAGTATGTAAAAAAAAGTTTCGGTGGTGTGATAGAGGGGATCAAAACAAGCACTTTATCTAAATAAATCGAGGCTCCAACGTGTTTCGTTTGGAGGCCACCCCCACAAAAGTGGTGAAATTTGCAAATTTTTTTCTCAGCTACCATTAAGAGTTAGAAAGACTTGTGGCACGTCGTTGAATAGGTTTTCGGGTATGCTCTTTCCGATTTTGCAAATTTTTTTTTTAATTCCTATACTGAAATTACGCCTTAGGGCTTGTTTCGTGGATTAACCACTGACCTCTTTTATTTAGGTCAGTGTGGTTAACTCCCTGAGACAGGCAGCACAGAACGCATGCTCGCCCTACTTCTTTATAGCTTTGCATGGGTTTGTTACATTATAGAATGCAAGCAATTGTTAGTAGCGATATGGAAGTTTAATTACCTACGAGGATTTCTAAAAGAGCCATATGGCATTGGCACCTGATTAAATTCAGTATGTACATACATATGGACTAGGTAAATAACACCATTATACAATGATAACGGGCAATGTATCTCTTTTGAATTGGCGGCAAAAATATGCGCGTGGATGTGAAAATTCTATTTAGAATCGTTTGGACACCAGCCAAAGGATGGGCATAGGCGGACACATGGTCACACCTAATTATTTGGGGGGGGGGGGGGTTCTCTGGTGCCCACTCTCCATACGAAAATTTTATTTAATGTAAAAATAACATGGATACTAATCGAGATACTAATTTTCTATTAGTTCTGTAGTTTGTTGTTTATCCATAGATAAATAGCATTACTTTATAACATACATTTTATACATTGAATTTACTGGGTCTTAGGCACGTTGTTCAGTACAGCCAGTTCTTAAATAGAACTACATACCTATATACTATTTTCTTGTACATATAAATAACATTTACTTTCCTTTTCCAACTGTTTAAGTAATTGGCAATGGAAACAATTTTGTTAAAAGCAACATGGAATCAATTATATACGGTTTTGGAAGGTATAAATTCAACGTTAACAACAAAATGTGTGGAAATTAGTGAATTGCAACTGATATCGCAAATAGATTCTTAACCGAAGAGTTTTTGTTAGTATTCAGCTCGGTAGTTTACATACAAGTCCATACAAACATCAGACAATTCGATAACTTCCACATATTTGAACCAACGAACGACCAAATATACCTATAAATTTTTTTCGAAGTTCGGACCAAAATCTAACGATAAATTCATCAAACATTACACCAAGAATGAAAGTGATTTCGAACAATAAAAGTTAACGGCACGTGATTCCGCATATCAATTTCAATTTTGATTGAAAATTATAAAAAAATAAAATGATGTATATAGAACACAAATAAATTATAAAAGAATGCAAAGACTACGAGTACTACCGGATTTAATAACATAAAAAAAACATCAAACTTAACCTACACGATGCTCCCTCGACGACAGCTCAAACCAAGATTGTTGTAACGTAAGAAGTTTTCGTGCTCTCGAGACGACGCAGACAGATTTTCACTTTCTAAACAGTCCCCCTAACCTAAGACCGGACTTGCACTCGTGTTCTGACAAAATGAGATCCGAACATATTCATTCATCCATCTCTACTCAATTTATAAGTACTCGAAGTCGGGCTTTTTCTAACATTACCTAACATGACATCTCGGTAAACCAAAAATTAAATGTGATATTTATTTATTGTCCCTCTCTTGTTCTGGGCCCGCAACAGGATATAGTTAACATAAACTGTCAACACACTCATACATAATCACAATCAAATGTATTTGCTAATCATAATGCTTTCTGGACGTTCCATGAATTCGCGCGGATTTTCTCTGCCTCAAATTCCGCAATTCTACTTATTAACAAATCCGCTTAGATGAAAGTGCGCTTCGTCCAAAAAATTATTCTTTTGGGAAAGTCCACATCTTCAACTTGGCGTTCCATTGTTACAATATTCACTTGTGTGAGTTGAATTTTGTAAGTGTGCACTTTGAGATCTTTTGTAAGGATCTCGGGAAGGATATTGTGCACTACCGATAGTGACAAATGCAACTGTTGACTGTTGAGCCGGACGACGCACCTATCTTCCGCGGCTAGCCATCGTGCTACTTGCACAGCGGTGTTCTCTATAGTGCACGCAGAACGCGGCCTTCGGCATACCGACCGCACATACCATGCAATGCCCGCAGTGAAACTCTCGCCGTTTTTGTAGAACGTTTTAATCACTGTAATTCGTTATTCCGTTGTCAAGCGCTCCATTTCGGAAAATAACGAAAACATGATCAAGATGAATTGCGCGTGACAATGCTATAAAGCGCGGATACTGCAGGTGAGACAGAAGGGAATACGACGAGGCAAACTCTATCTACCGCGATTTTGTTGGTCGACAGTGCTTGAGTTGTCCCAACCACATTTTTGTGGTCGACTTGCGGTCATATGAACCGCACTTGGAGTTAAGGCCGATAAATGTATCCGTGTAAAACGTATCGTCCATTGTTACGTCCTTTCGCTGCGATCGTAGAAATAGAAATGAATTTCGGCTCAACCCGGTCCAGTTGAGTTTTGCGGTTGGTGTACGGTAGTGGACGAGACGACCACTTGACAGAAATCGGGCGCAGATGCGCGGTTCGATTACTGTGAACGTCCCTGTACGTATGGTACACACGAACTAAAAATATATGTATAATTTCGCATTTACGCATTTACAAAATTTCTAAAGGTAAAACAACACTGAGATACAAATTCAAATAAAACGAACAGATTTACTTAATAAATTTAAGTATTCTCATACACATTTGAGTTTAGACCTACATATAACGTCTACATGACGTTGTTTAAACAACATTTTCTACGAGCTCCTAGCGGGTTCATTATTTTTCGTTTGTGCGTCTGTCTGTTAGCACGATATCTCGAAACCGAATGGATTAGGATGAAATTTTGCAGGCGGATTCTTTATCAAATTTGTAGATCATACTTTGTGAATTGGCTACGTAGGCAAAAAAATAAGGAAGTTCCTGTTGACCTCTCATATACCCAGGAGCTTGAAATTACAACTGCTACCACAGTCCCGCAAAGTCGGGTACCTACATCACAAGATCTCTTTAGGCTCTTACCCATACTTAATCTCTGGTTGTTCTTCTTCTCGACGTCATTCTTCAGTAGGTTCCGAAATGAAGCGCCCTGCGATCCTACTACATTTCAAAGATGTTCAGGCTCAAAATCGGAAAAGCACCCTCTCTATAACTGTCTATAGATAATGAAAAGCACACATTTACTATTGACACTTGATATAAAACACCCTTATTTCTGAATATACATAATTGTAACGGGCGATCAAAAATGAGTTGCTGTCGAGTCGCCTTTGGAAGTTCAAGTTAAATACGAATTCTCATGCAAACAAAAATTCCAAAGGTGACTCGACAGCAACTCATATTTGATCGCATTGTATTTGTCTCATGTTCTAAATGAAATTATTTTTCTCATTTCAGGAACCATGATACCAAAATCTGGTGGGGACTACGCATATATAATGGAAGCATTTGGTCCTCTACCTGCGTTCCTGTATTTATGGGTGGCGCTTTTTATATTGGTTCCTACAGGAAACGCGATAACGGCGATTACATTCGCACAATATATTCTTCAGCCCATGTGGCCCACATGTGACCCACCATATGAAGCTGTGAGACTGTTGGCGGCAGTTACGACATGCCTATTAACTGTTATTAATTGTTACAACGTTAAGTGGGTTACAAGGGTGCAAGACATTTTTACCGCAACAAAAATGTTTGCTCTAGGCATTATAGTGCTGGCAGGCATTTGGCATCTGTGCGCTGGCAACACGAAGCATTTCGAACAGCCAATGGCCGACACACAAACTGAGCCAGGTTATATTGCATTAGCATTTTATTCTGGACTATTCTCGTATTCCGGTTGGAATTACCTGAACTTCGTTACCGAAGAGCTAAAAGATCCATATAAGTAAGTGTTTCATTTGCTTGATTATGCATTAGTAATTTTTATTTTTAGGAATCTTCCAAAAGCGATATGCATATCAATGCCTTTGGTTACGGCGGTCTATGTCGTAACAAATATTGCCTATTTTGTTGTACTGGATCGGGACGAGATCTTGTCTTCGCACGCGGTGGCTGTGACTTTTGGAACAAAAATGTTAGGAATATTTTCGTATACTATGCCATTTTTTGTGGCTTGTTCCACATTCGGATCGCTGAACGGAGCTATATTTGCCTCATCACGTTTATTTTTTGTGGGGGCTCGCCAAGGACATTTACCTCGAGCTATTGCCTTAATTGACGTTAAGAGGCTTACTCCTGTTCCTTCACTCATTTTTATGGTATGTATTACATTATTATTGTAATTGAGCTTTGATGAAACATTATGTATGATCAACCATTTCGAGTTAGACTATCAGTTAGCCAAAATAGATTACTTAAAATAAATTATGGAAAAGAAAGCACCTACCAAAACTACTGAAAAGATGTGCTTCTCAGTGAAAATTTGAGACTGCAGGCATACAGTGCCAGCGTAATTCTGGTAGCTTAAGGGCAGGTGTACTTATTATTTTTTGTTGCAGTGCATTATAACATTAGCTCTTGTTATAATAGAAGACGTTTACGTTCTGATCAACTACGTCTCATTTGTGGAAGCTCTATTCACTACAATAAGTGTGACCGGTCTACTGTGGATGCGATATTCTAAACCACACCTTCTGAGGCCTATCAAAGTAAACTTAGTACTGCCAATTTTATTCTTATGCATATGTGCCTTCCTAGTCACATTCCCTTGTTATGTCAGTCCGTGGGAAGTTAGCATAGGACTAGCGTTCGTCATATGCGGCATACCCGTATATTTAGTTACGATAGCGTGGCGCTCAAAACCGGAATGGTTAGATAAAGCATTTAATTTGTTCAATACGTCATGCGCAAAACTATTCGTATGCGTTCCAGAATACGAAAAGCATGAGTCTTAGTAAGTGTAGTGGAATTGATTTCTACATTCCGGTATGTGCACTTAGCTATTTTAAAATGTGTGCCTTCAAGCGCAATTATTTTAGCTAATTTTCTACGGTATCTTAAATATTGTAAATAACACTTTTAAAAAATCTTTTATACTCTATAACTAAACTAATGCATGTACTGATCTACACTGCTCAAACTCAAGATCTGCAACAAGACAAGGCTACCTAATTTTTTTTGCTTTGAATTTGAGATTTAAATTTTTTTGTGATTTTCAAGTGTGTGTAGAAATCCTAGTGTTAATTTAAGACAATAAAATATTACTAAAGAATTTGTATGCTGAAGGGAACGCACACACTAAAAATCAAACTTACTTGATCCATACGTAGCACGCTAGTAAAATACAATGCCAAATTTTTGTATGTATTTATTATTTATTGTAGACATATTGTTGTTAGTTGTTTTATGTAAGTAAGTGGTTGATTTTAATTTATTTTCGTACATTGCTTAAGCCGTTGTTATTGGAACTACATAAATAAAATTGAAGCATTTTTTTATAAATTGAAGCACCTGCTATTTTTTAAGCCAAATCCCATTGAACTGATGTATGGATCGTGGAAGCTGGATATTGGAAAATTTATTGGGGAACAAAGTCTTCGGCAATCGAATCGCTTTTGCTTCCAAACAAACATTGTAATGACATACCCCTACGGTTAGGCAACACACATTCACTCAACGATTTTAGGTATACTAATCAAAGGACGAAACTGATTTTTGGAGATGAAGCTTGGTATAAAGGCGGTTTCTGTCACAGAACAACGTGGGTTATTACTCCGGTTTAGACCGTGGAGAAAGCACCTCATAAGTACCGTTTTGATTCTTCACTGTACGAGTATCTGTTGCTTTCTCATCTCCTGTGGGTTGCAGCTCTTGTGATTTGGCAATACGAGAAGGAGGACTCTAATTTTTCATCTGTTTGTGTGATAATCGATTTGAATACAGCTTGCACCCTCACCTGAACCTTTTAGTGTTAAATTGTTTTGTTTAAATTGAACGGTAGATGTGTTTTTGTACTAAATTGATTTATCTTGCTTTCCTTTTGTATATTTATGCTGTCACTACTGTCACTTGTATCTGGTTTTATTAATTTGTTTAACTGCAATTGATTCAATTATTGTGCACTTTGTAGTTGATTTATTTCTTGTATCTGTGTGTTATGCCAGATTTTATTCGTGCGTAATAATTTCATTTTTCTTATCTCTTCCCTCAGCCGCCCAAACTCTTAGTTTTATTCAATGCTGGATATATGTATGAAAAATGCCGTTAACAATTATTTGAAACCGGTATTATTTTTGGTGTAAATGTTTGCTCAATGTATGGTTACTTTGAATACATATCGTCTTGGCTCGAAGTTGAATTTATATATTTGGTCATTAGTTAAAATTGGTGGAAATTCTTGAATTGGTTCATGTTTTATGTACCTACATGTTATATGTAAACTAACACTTTTTGCCGTGAAGAGACAATTCCAGGAATGGAAATACTCTCGGAAATACTGTAACTAAAATAGTTACAATGCCTAAGGCAAGACTGGAGTTGATCTCGAATCTCATCTTTGCGCTGGCATTTCCTGAACAAGGGGCCAGTTCGCTGTTCCAGAGGTGGGACCTGCTAACAAAAAACTCTCCGTTTGAATGTATGGGAGACATAAGTTGCGATTCACCCTCCAAGGCCATGTAATTTTCCATGTTGCTTTCAACAAAAGGGGTTTTATTGCACCAAAATACTTCTACAGTGTGGTAACATAACATACCGCCATTGTTGTTTACTGTTACCTATGAGTCATTTCATTATCCATAAGATCTTATTACATCACCTGTTAAACCGAAGTAGGTATACCTACATTGTTTGTCCTTGTGTTTTTACCGTGGCTCATCCACCCATTCCATCAATCAAAAAAGTTAATGTATCCTTAGCAGTAAGTAAAGGCCTGTGTATAATAATAAAATTTGTGAAGTTGTTTTAAGGCAGTCGTCGCGCGTAGAGGGTATCTTTTTCTTTCCGAATGCTTTCCCACTTGCTAGCTTTAAATGCAGCACCTTGCATATGCATATCTTAAAGTCAATTTTTTTTTCTTCCGTAGTACCTATGCATTGTTTAATTAATAAAATTTGTGTACGTTAGGTCTTCATTGTTTTTTTTATCAGCAGTTATACAGACTGCACAAAATTTCCAGTTACGGTGATTCTAAGAAGATCCCAAGAAGATTAAAAAATTGTGAGCGTTCTGAACATTATACTCGTAATATAGCTTCTAGAAGTTCAAAATATTCTATACAGATTCTGAAAAAGGTTCTAAAAGAATTCTAACAATATTCGGGTGGGAATTCCAAAAAAATTCCGAGAAGTAATCAATCAATTCTTTTCTAACAGTGTATTGACGTCATATAAATTCCATATCTTCGTTAAATAAGGCGTTAGATGTGGCACTATCAAAAGTCTAAAAAATATCAAAATCGTTATTTATACAGTGTGTCCAAGATAAGAATGAACAGTTGGGCAAATCGGAAACCATCAGAGATAGGTAGGTACACATTCGGTTAAATTAGAAAAAAGTTACGTCTTTTAAACATTCAGAAATTCCGATCAGTTCCGAAGATATTCGCCAAAAACCATATTCGTTTTTACTTTTTTCTGGCCCTGTTTGAAACGATATCAAAAATGTGTTACCTCACACCATCAGTAAATTTTTTAACATACAAGAATTGTAATTTTTCACAAGGTCTTATAATAAGTAACGGGCGATCAAAAATGAGTTGCTGTCGAGTCGCCTTTGGAAGTTCAAGTTAAATACGATTTCTCATGTAAACAAAAATTCCAAAGGTAACTCGACAGCAACTCATTTTTGATCGCATAGTACCTTTTGATGTTGATGATGTATATTTTGATTATAATAAGTAGTATAGACGACTGTCGCACTGTACACGCAGTATTCCCAAGATTTTTGCTTTGGGCAACTACCCTCCCAATTTTGTTGAACCTAATTTTTTTTGTACCAAACCCAAAATGTAATCTCCAGTACGAGATATTCACAATAAAAATGTCCTGAAAAGTACAAGCTGTTATTAAAAAACAATTCACAGATTTCGTAATGCATGCAACCACCGGAGACATTGGAAATGATAACCGTATAACGCCATATGTAAAAACACAAATAACACTTATTATTCACCCAAAATGAATAAGTGTACGTGTAGACTTTCTGAATACTGAGCCTCATAACGTGCTCATAAGTCATAATTCTATTAAAGGAGATGTGCGAGAATTTTAGATTGGAATAACAGAACAATTGCGTTACCATATCGACAGTATCCGCAACTTTTCCTTAACTTACCGATTGCAGCCGAGTACGGTACAATCATCACTTGATGCGACACCGCTGTCTTTTTTGCTTGGACGAAACTGGTAACTTCATACCCATATACAAAACGTAAGCATTTCAATGCTAATAAAGTTGTGTTCATTCATTCATGATGTGCAAGACCAAGAATGGTTATACCACAGATATACGTAAGGACGTAAATCTGTGATTATACTGAAGGTTTTTTTATCATTGGAAATGTTGATGCTTTCACAAGTGTTTTAGTAGATGGGTGCAAAGTTATGAGATTCGTTTAAGTTGCGAGAAGACAACTGTGTCGCATCAAGTGACGATTGTACCGTACTCGACCATGAACGAACAGTCGCGGATACTCTCGATACGGTACATACTTAGTAGTGCCTTAGTGTAAAGAATAGAGTAGTGCTCAATTTGTTTGTTAATTCCAATCTAAAACTCTCTCCTTTGATAGTATTACGAGCATGTTTGATGTTACGATGCTTATAGCCTAGTTTTAAAAGATGACAATTTTGCATGTTTGGTACGAAATGCGAATATTTGCAAAAAGTTTCCATATTTTCAACTACAAAATGAACGTTCACGCGAAATAAATGACGATAAAAGTTACGAGAATCGCGTCTATGAAAACTAGGCTTATTATTCAGAAGAGTCACGTTTGCGACACGAGCGAGTGGAGCAAGTGATCCGATTGATTGCGAGTTATTTGGGTTTTATATATGGCATTATACGGCTGTCATTTGAAATGTCTCCGATGGTTGCATGAATTGAGAAATCTAAGAATTTTTTATTTGAAAAATCTGAGTCCTTACCATTTCAATTTTGAAGAAAGATGTAGGTAGGTACCTACATTCTAAAGTTATTTAAAATCTAAAAATGGCTTAAACGCGGAAACTGTGTATAACTGGAAACATAACGCAAATCACGTTTTGTCAAATATATGTAGGTACCAAATATGACCGATGTGCTGATAGGTACAATCAGAATGTATCCCGTAACCGCTTTAAATAAATAGTTGCATTGTACCTAGTATTTATACACAATATTTTAATAAATTAAAAAATACTACAAAAAATCAATTTCGATCACTAATAAATAGAATAAGCATAAACGCAATTTAAGTTCCATCGAGGTCTCACTTAGAGCTCACAATGTACTATTTCACTCTAGGATAGTAATACAGTACAGATGAAGCCGGAAGCTGCCAATTTGACGCGTGCAGTTCGATTAACTGCAGAAGTGTTCGCCTGGCAGCTGGTGATCCATTTGTCGCCAAGAACCCGTCTCGAACGCTAACAAGGAGCTGTTCCAATTGCAATGGCAGTTCATTTTCCAAATCTCGACCAATCGAGGTCAGCACGAAAAACAGGCACTCGGTTTCGGGTAAACATTTTATGGGTGAGTGCACGCACGCCTGGCAGCACTTTGCCAGTATTGCCAGAAGAGTCACGTCCGGTTGAATGTTCTGGTACTGAAATTGATGCTTGTGTCGTTTGAATTGACCGCACATCTCAGTCAGAAACCACATAAACGCGGTAAAACGAGTTCCATCCCCCGATTTAATGCCTCTCAAGTTTCGGTCTCGTTCTTGGAACCATTGCTGACAGGTATTGATAAGAGACTCGACGAAAGTTTGATTCTTTTCCTTCTCTATTATAGAAATACATAACTTGGCGATGTTTTCGGAATACTGGATACCCTCGACTGCCTTTTCCATTATCGTTTTCACCAAATCCATGATGGTGCGCGATGATAAATGATTGGGATCTTCAATTGCGGACTCTATAATTTTCTTGTCTTCGTCATTAAACATGTCGATATCCGTATCTTCCTTCACCGAGTGTCTTAATTTCGTAATTAGTTCTTGCGCGTCGGCCGCACCTAGGCTTTTCGATTTTTTCAATGTCCCCACGGTCGGTTGATTCCAACCTCCAAAGTTGACTGAAGGATTGTGATACACCTGGGTTGGTATCATATCGTTCGTGATATGGAAGTTGACTCTAGGTAATTGGTTAAGTATGGCGTGAGTGGTAGCCGAATGCAAAATTGGAAACGGTAGGGGTGCTGGTAAAATGGAAATTAAATTTGGCACAGGATTCGGCATTTGTCTTAATACGTTTCCGGTCGATTTAGAATTTTGAAGGGGTATCGGTT